TCGCTCCATGTACGCCATCCCTGGCGCCAATTTCAAATTTTTGTGCGGGGAATTTCGTAATAATATATCGATGCGGTTGTTCTTGGAGGGCTCCGCCTCGATATCGGCTGCTTGACATTCGCTTTCCTTGAAGTGTTGCAATCATTCTGATTGTCTCTGCTTACAAAAAATAGTCCTACTTTGTATATTTATAGGATTAAGCACAAGACCAACTAGCAAGAATGACGCTCGGAGTGATTCAAGTGAACAATGGAACTGCAAACAAAGAGAATGAAGTGGGTCCTTACGTCCTGCTGTGATATCCCTGATTTAAGTTCTCGTTATAGAGTGCTGGTCAGAAGAAACAAGAGAAGAATATTGTTCAAGAAATTGAAAAGGTTGGAAAATATTTTGATGTCGGATGTACTTATCTATCTTCTATTCTCATCGCCTTTTTTTTTAGATGTCACTTTCACCAGAGCAGGAAGAGCCTTTATTGAAGGAAAATCCTAATCGTTTTGTTATTTTCCCTCTTAAATATCATGACATCTGGGCATTCTACAAGAAAGCTGTTGCGTCGTTTTGGACTGTTGAGGAGGTTTGCTATTGGTTATTTGTCGCATTTTTCTCTTGATCGATGTCGTATTTAGGTTGATTTGGGGAAGGATATGGGAGACTGGGAAAGCATGAATGATGGTGAAAGATTTTTCATCTCACGTGTCTTGGCGTTCTTTGCTGCTTCAGATGGTATTGTAAATGAGAACTTGGTAATTTTATACGTAGTTTGATTTGATTATAATGGATAATCATTAAGCTGAAAACCCTGTTTCTTTTTCAGATAGAACGCTTTTCTCAAGAAGTGCAAGTACCTGAAGCTCGCTTCTTTTATGGCTTTCAGATTGCCATTGAAAACATACATTCAGAAATGTATAGCAAACTGATTGAAACCTACATCAGAGATGAGCAGGAACGGTGAGAGAGTAAATCATCATTTTTGAGTTCTTTTACATCTGCTTTTCTCCTTAGCCATTTGCTCTTCAACGCAATTTTCGAGTTCCCATGTATCAAAAAGAAAGCAGATTGGGCACTGAAATGGATTGCAGACAAGGAGGCCTGTTTCGCTGAACGTGTGATTGCTTTTGCAGCTGTAGAGGGTAAAATAAA